CACCCCCATCCCACCCACCTACCCTATCTGTTTCTCAGTACTTTTGGGATAAGGAGTTGTTATACTTTGCAAACGTCAGAAATAACAGAGGGGTAAAAAAGGCATACAATCTTTGGCTTCATCATTGCTCTTGATCTTCTTCACTCCCTGCAGAACTATGGCTTCTTCTAGCTCCCCAAATTCAAAAGCTGGTGATGATGATGATCCTTCTTGGCCACTAACCAAATACAGTGTATAAATTCAAAATCCATGTCACAACTTGAAAAAAATTAGTCAATTCATAACAGGGTAGAAGGCATGGGATCCCTTGTCTCAAAAATATTATCCACTTTATATCTCATTATTCAGAAGTTGTCACATAACATAAAAATGTAATACTCCGTATCATTTTATTATTATGTTATGGAACGATTGAGAGAGTGTGACATAGAGATGAGATAGTATTTTTGGAACAAAGGAATCTCCTCTCATGGAAGACGTAGAATTGATTCAATTGAATGAAGGGTAGTTTAGACTTTAGACTTTTTTTTTTTTTTGAAATATCCCCCAAATAATGAATACCCATTGTCAAAAATTGGATGATCCTTCTTGGCTGCTAACCAAAAATAACCACCAAAATGTCAGAGCAAGAAGAGAGTTATTTTTTAAAAATAAAGTTTAGATTTTTTTCTTCTGATTCTTTAATTTTCCCTCAAAATAATGAATACCCATTCTCAAGAACTGGCTTTTCCTTCATGAAAATAACAAAACAAATGAAAAAGTTTAGATTTTTCTCTTCAGTTTCTGTCAAGAAATGGCTGAAGTTATTATTAGGCATAAGCAAGAACATAGCAACTACTAGAATATTGTAATGTTAATTACTTGAGTGTGGAGTGGGACATGAAGCTTGTGGTTTCGCCGCCGTGGAAAATACCGAAATTCATATTATGGTGGTGGTGGTGGTCCTGAAGGCGGCGGCGGCAGTTCATTCCAAAATTCTGGTCACTGGTAGCCATGCAAAACAGCCCACTTTTAGATCATCCTCTTCCTCTGTTGAAGAAAGCCAAGAATAGTAATCAAGGCAAACACACACTTGTGGAAACAAAACATTTAAAAAAATGATAGTTTCTGTAGAAAGAATCAGAAAAACAGAGACATTTCGGCACGAAAATATAAAATATGCATACATTTATTTAGCTTTAATTACCTCAGTTTTGAATGACAGGGAGAGGTGATGAAGAAGAGGGAGCAAGAAAGAAGCTTTATTTGTCAAGAATGAAGAGTTTATTTATATATATATATATATACTCCGTATATATATATATATATACTCACATGTGAAAACAAGTGAGGGTCCTCTGTTCACTTCTCTCTCTCTAAGCCAGAGGAAGAGGAAAACTTTTGTGATCAGTTGAACATACAGTTTGGGTTTTCTTTTTCATGTCCTTTTTCTGGAGTAACAATTATTATTATTATTATCAGATTTGTTTAGTCTCCATCCAATGGTAGAGGAGATCTTTGTACCTTTGAGGTTCTTTGGGACCACCTGCTTTTGTGAGGTTTCCAAACTGCAAAAAAAAGTAAAACCATTTTAACACCAAAATTAGATGCTCCATCTGTTTCTAAATCTCTTTTTATTTGGATTTTTGTGGGATTTATGGGTTGTTTGGATGATGTGAGGAAAAATTAGAAAAAGAAAATGAGAGAAAACACAACTCGGAAAAAATGAAAGAAAAAAAATTAATGTCTGAATTGATAGAAAAAGATAAGAAAAAGAGAAGAAATGCTCTTTCATCAATTTCCTAATCATTTAGGGTGAAAAAACCTTTCACATAATCACATGGTCTAATCATTTGTTTTTTCTCTTCCCTCAAAAATTTCTTCTTGGAGCACTGGAAATACTCGTGAAGCCCTGGGACTTCAAACCGGGGCTTCAAACTCTCTCTATCTGCCACGTCAGCTTTAACTTACACCAAAAATTCACTGGAAATGGGGTTGAAGCCCTGGGGCTTGAAACAGGGGCTTCAAACATTCATTTTTTACATTTTTAAATATACATCTTCTAAATTTAAATTATTAAATTTTAATTAATTTATTATTTAAATTAATCAAAAGGAGATTAGTACATTAAAAAAATTACATTCATTAAAAAAATATTACATTCATAGAAGAATACATTCATAAAAATGTTTCATTCATTAAAAAAATATCACATCCATAAAAAAATAACACTACAAAGAAATTACTAATTATTCGAGCAACTAAAAATATCTTCATTCAAATTCGAGTTGTAGTAAAATATTGCAAAGTGAAATAATTCATCAAATAAAAAATACAGTCAATAAAAAAAGTATGTTAAATTTAATAAAAAACAAAACAAAATTACATTACTAAAAAAAATTTAAACAAAAAAATATTACATTAAACAACAAAATATAGAGTAAAAAAATTATGTTTGTGTTTATTTTTTTTTAAAGATAGAGTGGGGAGGGGGGGAAGAGCTTTGAAGCCCGTTAAACATTTGAAGTAGAAGAAATGAAGCCCGGATGAAGCCTTAGGGGGCGGTGTTTAACGCCCCCTGGGCTTCAAAAGTAACGTAACGCCGGGTGGCGTTAAATGTATTACCAGTGCTCTTATATCCAAACAAATGAATTTGAATTGATTCCTAAGTTTTAATTTCTTACCTAACATTTTCTTTCTCCCTACTTTTCATCATCCAAACGCAGTGTTAAGAATGAAATATTTGTGTGTTGATTTTTCCAAATTACCATTGATGTGATACCTAAAAGAAATGTGATGAATAGATTATTAGTGATTAGTGAATAGATATGATGTGATAGGTAAAATAATAATTAGTCTAGGGAAAATTGATTTTTTTAAATAAAAATTAGAGAAATTTTGGGACAACGAAAAAAAATGGGAAAGACTACGAAGGAGTACATAAAATGAAAATCTAAACATATAATGTCAAACGTGTTGTTAATCTAATATGATCCAAAAACTTGTATGCAGATTAACATTTCATTATTATTGTTATTGACACTCAAACAATTTTAGTGAAGGGCAAAAGTATTTGGCACAAAAATAAGAGATTAAGTGTCTTTCAATATGAGAGGTTTCAATATGTGTTTGATTCTCGGTGGGGCCAATAACTCCATATGCTTTAATAGGTTGAGAAAAATCTAAATTGTTGTTTGCTACTACAGGGTCAAACATCATTTTTTTTTTTCTATTTTCGTTAGTCATTTGAAAAAATAATATAGTTATGCCACTACTAATTTTGTTAATCTTTTGATATTGTTTTTAAATATGTAATTTTTATCTTTAAATTTTACACCATTTTTCATATAAAATAATTTAAAAATTACTTTAGTCAAACATCGTAACCCGAAATAGACGACTTAAATTAGGACGGAGAGAGTAATCATTCTTACGTTTGCATTAAGAACTACATTTCCAACCAACGGTACAGTTTTAGACAGTTTTTTAACAAAGTGAAATAATGTTTAAAATAGTAACAATTTCTCTAAAAACATTTAAATAGTGTCTAACCAATAATTAGTAGAACTCGCTACTGCAGTTGATAATTGAGTGTTATAATCCATGATTTGTAATAGATTTGTTTTGGTATTACTCTGTATATAATTTGATACATTGATGCCTCCACATCCAATCCTTGTCATCAACTAAAACCACACCAAAATTCTTTTATCTCTTGATAGATTTAAACTTTATTAATCGATAGTGATTGGACTTCCTAGCTAACACCTTAGTTTAATAAATGTCCATTATGGATCACATTATCTATGCAAAAAGGAAAATGCTAGAGTCACAAATATTGCATTCGGAAGAATTTTTGACAAAAGTGAACACGTTTTTCACAACAATCTTAGTCAATTGTTAGTAGAGATTGTATTTTTGTTAGAAAATATAAGGAAAAAAAAAGTGATGATAATCATACTTATTATGGTTTATGGTCCGATGACAAAAACAGAAACTTGGGGCAGATAATTACTTCGGTATTACTCGGTACGTAATTTATCTTAATATCCGGTCTGAAAGTAATTATACTTTGTTTTAAAAAGGACAAGTAAGATTTTTTTTCAAGGAAAAAAGAAAGAAAAGTAAGGTATTGTTAGACAATATATACGTCAAGCCCACCACATTGCACTGCAAAACTAACCAATGGGCAATGACCAATGCAATGCTCAACTAGAAATAAAGCAAAGTCCACCACTGCAAAACCCACCATTTTTTAAAATTTTAAAAATTTAAAAATTAACTAAAAATAAAATTACAACATCGGTCAACCTCCGGCCAGCAGCGGCGTCCGACGAAAGGCGGCGCAGCAATGCTGGGGGCAGGCGGCGAGACGACCGGCGATCGGCGGCGATGGCAGGCGCACGGTGGTAGGCCGCGGCGGTTAACAGTCAAAATCTAGTCATCACTTCTTCCTTTGATTTTATTTTTTTAAAAAATCAAAGTGTTGAAAAAATATGGTGAGTTTTACCTTACAATTTGGTGAACTTTGTAATTGTCCTTTTGATGAGCTTTGCATCATCTGACCGAATCATATCATCTCACCATAAGGTGTCACTTAACTGGAGTCGATATATATATATATATATATAAATTAGTTCCATTATGTAGAATAATTTAATGTGCAATTTCACAACTTTTGAAATATTATTTTAGAAAAAAAATTATTACTAGATTATCCATTATTGGAAAAAATCTTTAGTTTTGCTTTAAAAAATACTTTAATCTCGTATTATTTATAAAAGCATTTTAAAAAAATACATTTAAATTTAAAGTTAGAAATTAAAAAACAAAAGACAACCAAAACAGAGGGCCTATATATACTTGGACAGTTTGGTGGGCAATGGGACTAATTAATTAAGTAAACAACAAAAATTTAAAAATGGAAAATTGGTCGATACTCGATAGAGAACCTTAAGGAACGAAATGGACCGATAAATTTTATTTTTATTTTATATTTTAATGATAAAAAATGCAGACAATTATTCAAATAATTTATACACTCTGTTTAAAGAAAGCGTATTTTTATTTTTTGTTCGTCTCAAAATAATTTTTACTTCCTTTTTTATGAAAGATTTGTATCATTTCGCCCATTTCTCTCTTCATTTCATAACTTTTCACCCGTCAATTATATTTTTCTTATTAATCGTATTAAGTCATTTATTTTGGAGAGAGAGATTACGGAATATAAGTTAAGATAGAGGAGTGGATTATAGGGTCTTTTAAGTTGCATTATTTGTGATGCATTTAATAATAATGATTATCTAGGTTTTTTCGAATAATATTATATACACGCACCAATAATTCCTTCCTAATACCAATCATTTGAGGTTTATTCTCTCGAATGGATTAAGTCCATGCATGTGTGTATATTGAGTTCTTTCACTTTAGTTGTTGTACAAATTAAATCAACACCAACTTGTGAACCAAGTGCGTGCATTATATATATTAAAAAAACAATTAACTTTGTGGTACCCTTGACACACTTTTATTACATCAATGTCTTTATTCTGAATGCAAAAGCGCCAAGGGCGCAATCAGAGGTAAATGATCGATAGCGGAGAGCTGGATGGTGAGTATTTGCGTAAGGCACAAGAGAAGAACTACCAGTAAATCAGACTCCAGGGAAAAAACGATGACCGGGATATCATAGATATAATATAGTGTTCTCTATCGATAATTTTTATAAAGTTACGGAGTATAATTTCAAAATTGGGGTCAAACTTGAGGTATCTCAAGTTTGACTCATTTGATAAACGGTGTCTTGTAGACATGTTTATACAAAGTTATCCGGAGTATTTCTTTATACTATCTCAACATAATTATACACATTGAGCCAACACTTCAGAGAGACTCGTCATGAATCTTGAGGAGTGGACTTCATGCTTCTCAAGCCAAAGAAAAGTTCTTCAACCCATTCTTATTATTTTCTCTGTATTACTTATTTTATTTAAAATCAAACCAGATAAATTTAAAATAAATATTTCTTCCATTATTGCCATCAAACCAGATATAAATTTAACATGAATAATTACACTTTATTCAGTCTCTGTTCTTTTCGGTTAGAATTTTGAAGTTGAAAAAAATTGAAAAAAATAGAAAAAAGTTGTTGAAAAACTAAAAAGAATTAGAAAATGTTGGAAAAAATAAAATGTTAAAAAATCAATCAATTTAATAAAATCCAAAGAAATATGCAAGAAAATTAATTTTAAATATAAAATAAATTCATCTTTGTCTGCGTTTGAAGTGTTCGTTATAAATTTAGATACATAATGTTATTGTATAGTCATCATATGTAAATACATTTTTTAAGTCTTTGGAAGAAACAGGAAAAAGTTAAAAAAAAATAGAAGTAATTGAAAAAAAAACTGGAAGAAAATAGATAAAATTGGAGGTTAATTTAGCCAACCGAAAAAAACATAACCTTAATTTTTAGCGTGAAATCATAGTGAAAGATCAAAGAGAAAAAAACGTTTTAGAAAACCTAAGAGTCTACACTCTACACTAGTAAAAATATACTATGTTGGAAACTTGATGAAAGACGCCAAACTTGAAGAAACCAAAGTTTTAACAAAGCCAAACTCTTTGAGTGGTTTGACTCAACTCGACTCGTTAACAGGAATAACAACCCTACACGCAAATCTATGGTTCAAGACAAAGAGAAAGTGTGTTGGATATTGTATCTAGACTCCAAACAAGAGGCAAATCAAAACACTCCAACAAGAATTAAGGTGGACAAAACAATGAGAATGTAAAAACTGTCCTGCCCAAATCCCTATAAATTTGACAACGAGGTTGGAGTTTTGTGTTTTTTGTTTTTTGGGAAAAAAAAACAGGTGCACAGTAAAAATTAATAGATTTAAAGCCAAAATTTGTCAAATGAGGCAAATAAAACAAAACACATCCCAGTGGTGGATCATATATATCCCAAAGAAAACTGAAGTAAAAGTCATCACATCAATGGATTATGAACAGATTATTCCATATCAGCAATACCATTCTCATACATATCAAAGATGATGATAGAATATACATATTGAATTCTAGAAAAATAAATGAGCTTTGTTTATTCAGAACACCTTTTTTTGTTTAATGCTTTCCAACTGGAGTACAATGCACCCTCCTTATAATAATCAATTATCAAGATTGACCAAAATCTTATGACAAATGAGTCTTGAGTTCAAATGCTCTCTAAAGATGAGTTTATATTGAACCATTCAAAGGAGGGTATGTTAATTATATAGTCCCCTGTTTGCCCACAATCACAAGATCATGTTTTATTATATATGTATGGGAATTCAGACATTACAAAGCATCTACAAAAAGCAGATTCAGAACCAATATAACAATTGTAATCATTTAAAAATAACCTGCAATTGGAAAGATTACTAGTGTTGATGCCAGATTATTCAGATGGCCTTTGTCCCAAAACTGGAATATCCTCGTATCGCTTCTGCATTTCGACAGATAGATAATTTAGTTTATAATTCATCAAAAGAAGCTCCTCTTAAAACAAAAACGCACACATTTTATAAGACCAAGACTTATAATTCATCAAAAGAAGCTCCTCTTAGAGGATATACTACTGTAAATTGTGAAATTGAAAGGATTCAGAGAGTGGATTGTGATAGTGGAACGGCTAAAACCCCTTATAAAATTCTACATTTTAACATTTATTTACAAATTAGCGCAAAAATCTTGCTTTAACTGATGCACACATTTTAATAAAATATACATATAATACATCACCTAATTCAATCATTATAATTCAAATAAATTATGTACCCTGAAATTAAGCCAACATTCCTGCATAAAATTATCAACTTATAAAGGATGTCGTCTCCACATCTAAAGTGCAAGTATGTAGCAACAAAGCGAATATCCAAAATAACTCTAAAGTTTATGTTTCAACCTCTATTATGCATGGTTTGAAAAAGGGCTTATGAGGCTCAATGTGAGGCTCGCCTCAGTGTGAGGTGCCTTGTTCGCATAACAATTAACAAGAGGCTTACACCCCAAAGAAAAAGGCTTACGCCTGAGGGATTTGTTTTTTCTGGAATGTGAGACTATTAGGGCCTGTTTGGGAATAGCTTTATCGATTAGCGTTAGCGTTTTTAAAAAGCTATCGACGGGCAGCGTTTAGCGTTAGCGTTTTCAAAGTAATCTGCAACGTTAAAATTTTATCCAAAACGCTAACGCTAATCTCTAACGCTATTCCCAAACAGGCCCTTAAGCAATAAGGTCCATAAATTAAAATTTAGTCTGTAGGAGAAAAGAAATAACATATCACTCTATTATGTCGCCCCCCCCCCCAACTCCAAGACACAATGATCTGAATCACTATAACATGTATTTTCTTTGCTTTGATGCTCCATGTGCATGTTCTAATTATTCTCTCTTCCTCCTGGTCTCTTCTTTTTTCCACTGCTTTTTCATGCTTCTCTCATATTATTCTCTTCTTTGTTTTTATGTTTTTTCATTGTTGTTATTCTGAAAAATTATTGAGGTGGCACTCCTACTAGTAGTGAAGGCCTAGACTTTTCTACATATGTTACTAGAAAGATGAAAGACCTAGCAAGGACAAATCTATAAATCTCTTGAGAAAATAAAAGTATTACATTCCAGTGTAACTATTTTTATTTTCTGGTATATTTTGTGGGTTGTAACTCAAGGCTTCATGTCTTAAACAAACGACCTTGACACATTTAACTAGCACCCAGTATAAATATAATGTATTTTTTACATATGAAATCCAAGTCTATAACTTTAGCAAATACAAGTAACACGTAACAGTTGTCTCAAAACTAATACTTAAGCTCCCAAAGCATACAAAATTTTCAGGCAAGTCACACATCACCAATGTTTAAAAAAATATAAAAAGGCTAAATAGGATTTTAGGAAATAAAGACCGTCCATTGTGTAACCGTGTAAAGTTCAAAAAGCTTGCCTAAAGCCTAAGGGTGTCATTCGGACCAGCTTGCCATGCCCAATGGCCGTTTTGGGCAAAGATTTTCAGCCATTGTGTTTTTTGGCCAAGATTCAGTATTTTCTATTCAAACCACGAGAGTTCAACATTTTTAGGATGGGCATTCCTTTATGTCGTGTATCAAGAAAATTTTACTCCGTATTTTTTGTACCAAAATACTATCACTGCTTAAACCATGGAGAATGCTAAAAGGAGACATAAAAAGGAACTCTACAAATCTTTGGCCATGATGCACAAGCAAGATTCCTACTACATGGTTAGTAAAGGCCAACTTGTTCACATGATCCATTAGTGTTTTTACTTGCTTTTTTTCTCCTAATGCAAATATATCCACATGTCAAGACCCTTTTTTTAGTAATGAATTACAAACGAAACGCGCCTTAGGCCAACAAAAAAATGTTAAGTTCATTATTTGCAATGAATGAATTGTAAAAAAGGAGGATACATAATAGAATAAAGATTTCATTAAATGATCCAAAAACTATGAAATTTTAGGTACAAAGTGAAGAACAACATACCCCAATGTTGTTTTGCTCCCAGAGCTTCTTAATCCCATAGTCAACCACCTGCACTTACAATGTATGCGAAATTAAACAAAATTTCAAATCGGTTCTGAAGAACTTGACTTCTATTCGTTAAAAATGACTCGATTAATTCAGATCTGAAAAGATGCTCGGATCAATTTCAAGCTTAATAGATGCATATCACGTGATCGTGCGCTGATGATGCTTACCCTTTCGCCGACAAAAGCGCCGGCGACGACGAAGGTGACGTAGACAGAGTTCCGGCGCATGATGACCCTGTAAAGGCCTTCTAGAAGGCCGCCACCGCTTCTCCGAACTGCTGCCGGTGACGCCATTGTCCGACGCTGTGCAAAATCTCAGGAAAGCGTCTTTACTGATCCGAGATCGGAGAATTTGTGTAGAAGAAGGTGAGCCCGTATTTTCGGGTCGGGTACATTTCCGTTTGACTTTGGGCCATTATTCCTTCGCCGCGGGTAGGAGTACCGGCCCAAGAGGCCACTCACAAGTAGGGGTGGACACGGTACGGTTCCGGGACGGTTCTGGTTCTGGAACCGCCGGTTCCGGTACCGCCACCCCATGGCACCGTCACCGTGACCGGACCGGCCGGTACCAGTTCCGGTTCTCGGACCGGCGGTTCCGGTACAGGACCGGCCAGTTTCGCCTCCCCCCTTTTTTTTTTGCTTTTTTTTAAAATTTTTAAAGTGTGCCGATCTGTTGAAGACTAGTCCCCCCTGTGTGCCGATCTGTTTAAAGTGTGCCGATCTATTTAATAATTTTTTTTTTGCAGGCCACTTGTTCCTCCCGTTGAAGACTAGTCCCCCCCCCCCTTTCCTTTAATGTTTCCCTTCTTTTTTTTTTTGCAGGTGGTTGGCCGATCTGTTGCAGGTGCAGGGAAAAAAACAAAGTAACGGTACCGGTACCGTACCGGTACCAGCGGTTCCGGGACGAAAACTTGGGTACCGGTACCGGTTGGGGCGGTTCCGGTACCGGTTCCCGACACCGGTGGGACGTGCCGTGCGACGGTGACGGTAGATGGTACCGGCGGTACCGTTGCCGGTAACGGTACCGTACAGGTACCGTGTCCAGCCCTACTCACAAGACAGAGGTTGAATTAAAAAGTTGAGAAATATTCACGATAAATAATTAATTTTCCTAAATAGCACCTAAATTATTTTATTTCTTATATAACATTTAATGATGTACAGAAAGAAGAATATTATATAGTGATAGCGAATATTTACTTAAATAATGACTAATGAATAATGACTAAAAATGCTACATTGGAAAAAATACATTTAGTGCTATTTAGAAAAAATCATTATGTTTTAGTGTTATTTAAGTAAACTACTCTTATTTTAATACCACGGGCCGGCTCGATGATAATGATAATAACGACTAGCTCTTTTTAACACGGTTTGTTTTCATAATATGATAACAATTCTAATTGAAGCATTTGCAATGTTCTGATCCTAAAACTTTTAACTCCAAGCTTCCCCTCATGTCCTTCCTACACCCTATGGATCACCGATAGACTGTCAATAAATTACTACCCTCGAGAATGTTAAATATTATTGACACGTTAAATTCAAATTTGATGAAAGTTATATGTTTCAAAATCTAAAACCTGAATATAAATTTAGACCAAATTTAATTTGAATACAAATTTAGACCAATTTTTTTAATCCACAACAAAAAGATTACTTACAACTCAATACGCCTCCATTGTAATATGAAATTAAAAATTCAAAATCCAAGAGTGTAAATCCAATAACTTAAATTAAAAAATTTGATTGGGATGTTAATAAAAGTATACACCCTCTCCTCTCTAAGATGTTCTTGTTTTAACTTTTTGTGATTCATAAAGATAGATGAAAAGAAATAATTGCACTAATTGCACTAAATAGTTAAAACTTAACTCGTTTTTCTAAATAGCACTTAAACTGTTTTATTCTTTAAATAGCACTTAATAATGTCTATAATGTCCAATAATCGTGAACATTTATTTGAATAATGACTAATTAATAATGACTAAAAGTGCTACATTATGAAAAAATACATGCGATGCCATTTAGGGAAAGTCATTAGGTTTTAGTGCTATTTACCTAAATTCCTCGAAAGGTAAATTTTATACTCTTTTCAGTCCTAGAAATCATTCATGTTTTGATTTTTTTGGTCAAACATTGTCACGCTTTGATTACAAATTATGAAAAAATATATTTAATTACAATATAAATTTAATAAAATTAGATTTATCTTAAGATATAATTTTTATATAATATTTTTCATATTTTTTATTTATTTAGATTATATTTAATTTATGTAAAATCAAAAATCAAAACAAGAAAATTTTTTAGAATATTTAATTCATTATTCTTATTCGTTAAAAGATGACCCAACTCGCCTGAGGAGTGTCCGGCCGAACCATAAATCTCTTGGCGACTTGTGTGGCGGGAAAAGAGACCTAGGTTTTTCGATCGGGTTGTTTGGAGAGGGGAAAGAGCGGGGGGAGAGAAGCAGAGGGAGCACCGATGGCGGAGGAGAAAGAGAAAGGACCGGTGGTTCCGGCAGTGGAAGTAGAAGACCTGCCGAAGACTATCGTGCGCCGGCTAGTGAAAGAAAAGCTCTCACAGCTCTCCAGGGACGGCGAAATGTCCCTTCTTCGCGACGCTCTTCAAGCCTTCACCGAGAGCGCCCGCATCTTCATCCACTACCTGTCTGCTGCGTAAGCTCGCTCGTTTTTACCTGTTTCTGCTTCACTTTCCCTCTCTGTGATTTCATCTCTTTGGCGCTCCTTCTAGGTTCCCATCAAACTTTAATCGATCTTTGATAAGATTGTGTTCTTTTTCTGAAGAAAGGTTATTTCATTTCGGCAATTATGTGATTTTTTATTTAATGATATGCAACAATTCTTGGAGCGATTAGATAAATAAGCGACTTGTGTGATTTTTAATGTACAATTTTAGCTCCGGTTCCATAAACACCGTGTTGTTGAATACAGAGTACTATTTTTCATAAATAACTGTAGAACGCGATAATCCATATTATTCTCCAACATAGTTTTGGTTTGTGGATTGTTTGCTTAGACAGGTAAACGAGCTAAGAAATGTTGCAAAATACATAATGACTGGATAAGTTTAGCATTGTGAATAGGGTGTGATATTCACATCTCTTTAAGCTCTTAGCTAAGTTACTAACATAGTGATGAAGTGGTATTACACACAATTCTGGACTTCTCATTATGATGACATTTGATTTCATTGTGATAGAAGTTTTAAGGCATAAAAATGGTAACTTGGTCTCACAAATTTGGTCTCACAAATCGTTGTAAATCAATCAACCAGCATTGATTCAGAAGTCTTCTTTTGCCAATAAAAAAGTTGTGAAGAATGGTGTGCAGTCGATTGCACTCCGATGGAGAGCTAGATATAGATGTTGTTCATTGTATTAGAGCCGCTTGGACTAAGTGAAAGCTCGCTTGAGGAATGAGGAGTAGAGGTGTACTTTGCCACAAGAGGTATCGACAAGCCTGAAATGGAGGTTTATTGGAAAATGGTCAAATTGGCCCTTTTGTATGATGTGGGATGCTAGGCGGTAAAGGACACTCATGTTCTAAAGCTACGAGTGGCAGAGATGATGTTGAAGTAGATGTGTGGGCATAAGATGACGGATCAGATCCAAAACAAGGATATCTAAGGGAGGGTGAGACTGGCCTTTGTGGAAGATTAGCTACAAAAAGCTAGATTTAGTTTTTTTGAGCATGTATTGAGGAGAAATATGGATGCCTTAGTGAGGAGTTGCGGGAGGCTTGTGGTAGGGGCTGTTGGGAGGGGTAGAGGTATATTTGTATATCCAATGAGAGTTGGAAAGAGGTGGTTAGACAAGACTAATGACTTCTTGATCTTGTGTGCCTGTTTTTATTTGTGGTCTCACTTTATGCATGTTACTTTCTTTTGCCACTGTGATCATGTGTTTTGAGATCAAAGCTCTTGGAAACAACCTCTCTAGTTTTTGAGTAGGGATAAAGCATGTGTCCACACCTTCCCCGGGCCTCACTAGGTCTGTTGTTGGTGGTGGTGTGCGATTGATGGTGTTGCAGAGTTGTTGTATGGTAGGATTTTTGCCATCTTCCGTTAAGAACATCAAATGCGAAAAATAATGTCATAATTATAATGCAAAGTAAGTTGTGATGTGTTGAGCTGGCTTCACTTATTCTGATGTATCTTTTGTAATTGCAGTGCAAATGATAATTGCATGGAGTCTAAAAGGCAAACAATGAATGCTGAAGATGTATTCAAGGCTCTTGAAGATATAGAGTTTAGTGAATTTGTAGGACCTCTCAGAGCTTCTCTTGAAGGTTAGTGTTTGTTCCTTAGGGTCTCTTATCTCTTTGGACAGAGGGTTCGGGAAGGAAAGCTTTGGAGTGCTTAATCTGTACCTTGATATGTATTTTTGAGATTTTATAAAGTTGAAAGAATAACATGATATGTCTGTGTATGGTATTTCAATCCCCTATTATTCGTTGGCAAAAACAATCTATTCACCACAATTTATACTAAGTCCTCCCAACACATTCAAAACCCTCCATCCAAACAAGCCCTTATTGTCATAAGTTACTTTAAAAGATCCAGTTCTACTATTAGTATTGGCTGACTACTTTTCAGGGATTCTAGCACTACATCTCTGCGTTTTTTGTTATCCTATAAGTGTTAGCCTTTTCTTTGGATGTAGGTTCTTTCTCCAATCATTTGGACCTGTAATATACTCTGATTTTTGTAGACAATTCATATGGATATATTTTATTTCTCCAAATGTGTAGGATATGTTTGGCACACCTTGCACTAGCTATTTGATTTCTCTTAAAGAGGATCTTGAAGCAAGCTCTTTTAAAGCCAGATGAACTTGTTGGATAACCCTGAGCTTATTTCATTATAGAGACATTGATTGGCTTATCATACATGTTACATGACCTTCTCGTTTATAGATCCAATTTTGTCAATTTATGTCCTTTTGTATTTCTAGATTAGCTAAATTTTAACAAACACTATATGAGACAAGTACCAGCTAACTTATCAAACCTTCACTAATAGCATGTCAAGTGTTCACAGCATGGAATTTGAGGTCATTCTCGTTCCGCGGATGATGATCCGACCCAAGCTTGTTTGTTGTATTTGTAACTCTTTCCCTGTTACTGACAGAGTTCAGACTGAAAAATTCTAAAAGGAAGGCGGTATCTTCTAAGCCGGTGGAATCCAACAAAAAGAGCAAGGGGGAAGGAAAACATGCCGAAAATGGTAAGATGAAAGGGAAACAGGACCCTACGGATAACCCAAAGGGTAAGCACAAAAAAACTGCAGTGGATGGAGATGGTGCAGGAAAGGCACTAATAGTTGAAAGCGAAGAGAAAGATGGTCAAGAAACCAATGGAAGTGAAAAAGAAGAAGACGGAGAAGAAGAAGGAGAAGAAGAAGAAGAACAAGAAGAAGAAGAAGAAAAACAAGAAGAAGAAGAAGAAGAGCACAGTAGAGGCGACAGTGTTGATGAAGAAGAAGGCAATGCAAGCGACGACAGTGGTGACGATTGAAGAGATATTGCATAAAACTATAACTGATGAAGGAGGCACGTTTTGATCTCTTTCACATTCCCCTGTAATGGATGCCCTGCTCATGTAAAGAGATCATACCTAAGTTATTTACAGTTTTGGATTTTTTAATATTCCATCCGAAGCAATTTTCTATTATTGTCATATATTCACATCACTTTTAGCTAAAATTCAGGTCATTATGGTAAATAAGGGTAAAAATAGACGGTGCGGTTAACGGAAGGCGACGACTTTAATTGAGGCAAAATTTATGATTTCTATTCCCTACACTGCCAATGCCCCCCACCCTAGCCCCTTGCCACCTCCCACTTAGTATTTCCTTGCCACCTCCCACTTACACTATGTTTGGTTAAAGGAATTTAAAAGGGAAAAGAAAAGAAAATGAAGTGGAAAACAAGTTTTTTTTATTTGGTTAGAAAGGAAAAGTGGAAGGAAAAGAAAATGAGAAGGCAAAATGTATCAAGGGGAGGGAAAACCAAATTCCTCTCATTTTGGTGAGGAAAATGAGAGAAAACCATTTCCTTTTCTTTTCCTTCAAAATTTCTTGAACCAAACATTGTGTTAGTATTTCCAATAGCCAATTGGCGATTTAGAGGGGAGGAGAGGAGGGCAAAGGGGTAAGAATCATCTATTTTGCAAGCAAAGCATTAGGTACCCTAAAAAGACAGTGACATCCTAGTATCACTGCAACCCAATGTCTTCATAACCGTATCAAAATAAAATAGGGAAATACACTAAATAAAGAGTAAAACATAACGATAGTATGAAATAGGAGTTTTACATTTTTATTCTCAAAATAAGAGTTACAATGCCAATAATGTCATCATATAATATGAAAAATATAATGTCACACTGTTACAATGTAAATTCTTATTTTGAAGATAAAAATAGAGAAACCACCCTAAATAATTGTAAAATATAGTGAAAATACCAAAATAGGAACTCTATGTTTTTATCCCAAAATAGGAGTTCGCACTGTGGTAATATAATACTGTATATAGAAAATTTACAATATTTTTTGGTAATGTATATGGTCATAATTGACAAAATATATGCATTTTAATTCTTATTTCGGAAATAAAAACATGAAACTCTTATTTTGGTATATTTTCAATGTTTTTCTTTTACTTTAATTTTTTTTTCGCTTAAAGATATGTTGCTTCTATTTTGGGACAAGAGCAATGTTTTACTCCTATTTAAAAGATTTCTTGATAAAAAAAGACTATGGGTAAACTCACATCTTATTTAGCTATATTTATTTCATTAATCTCAAAGAGACAAATTCACCCTTGCATATGGAGTATTAAAAAAAAGTAGTGAAGGGCATAGCTGTCACAAGGCCCAATTGCCAAAATCGCCACCTACAAGAACGACGGTTCTGAGAGGGTTAGGGTTTGAGTGATACCCGAGGATGGCGAACCGTACGGACCCTACGGCGAAGAACATCCACGGGACGAATCCGCAGAATCTGGTGGAGAAGATATTGCGCGCTAAGATTTATCAGAACACCTACTGGAAAGGGGAATGCTTCGGTCTGACGGCAGAGACGCTGGTGGACAAGGCAATGGAGCTCAATCACGTCGGCGGGACCTTCGGCGGCAACCGTAAGCCCGTCCCGTTCATGTGCCTCGTCATGAAGATGCTCCAGATCCAGCCGGAGAAGGACATTGTTGTCGAATTCATTAAGAACGAGGATTACAAGTACGTTCGTGTCCTCGGCGCTTTTTACTTGCGTCTCACCGGAACCGATGTGGATATCTATCGCTACCTTGAGCCCCTCTACAACGATTATCGTAAGCTGAGGCTCAGATCAGCTGATGGAAGTAGGTTATCTTTCCTTCCACATGTTTTTTTGTGATCTCTAAGCTTGTCTTTGATTGGTTGGTTTTGATATGATTTGCATCTTTATTTGATCGTTGCAGAGTTTACTTTAAGTCATGTGGATGAGTTTATCGACGAGCTGCTGACTAAAGATTACTCTTGTGATATTGCACTTCCTAGGATTAAGAAAAGGTATGTAATTGTCTGTTTTCTTATTTAAATTTTAGACTTAAGATCCTAAAGGTTGTGTTCCATTATTCTATATTCATTCATTCATTATAGACATAGTTTGGTGATTCTAGAGGATAATGAAAGTTGGATCATTTAGCCATGGGCTTTAGGTTTCTTCAGAAAACATACTCTTATGCTTAATTATCATCACACCTTTTGATGAAAAAGTAGTTGAACATATTGGATGCATTTCTTTGACCAGGGAGCTGTTTACTTGTCTATTGATATCCTAGCTTTCAAACTATACTTACACTAAAGTTAGGAATACCATCTATGTTCACCTTCTTTACTGTGTAACCAGCTCGATCATCGTATAGTTAAAACTAGTAGATGAGAACAATTTAGCTGTACAGTCATTTTAGGCATGCTCTTTGTAGTCTAAAATGTTTTCCCTATATTAGCTTTGGATCTATACGCATAGTGTTTTCTTGAATGCTTCTTCAACCGGCTTAGTTTTGCTTGTCATTATCTCACGCAATATCATTTGTCACTCAGATGGACCCTTGAATCTCTTAGTCAACTGGAACCCCGTCGAAGTGCTTTGGAGGATGACTTTGAAGAGGAGGAAGAAAAGGATGAGGAGGAACAGTTAACTACTGGTTTAGATGATGAGCATGACAAGGTTTGTATTTTTCTATTTTTTGCATATCTCGTTCCACTTAGATGTAATTTTACATTCTCTTCTCTGGACCTCACTTTGGATGCAGGATTATTATCATGGACACAGTCCTTCAAGGGAGAGAGATAGGGACAGGAGACGAGATAGGGATAGTTACCGGCACAGGTGCTTTTCATTTATCTATATATCTTGTTTCACATTTATTAAAGATCAAATGAAATACTACATTCCAAGAAAGACTTGCTTTGTATTCGGCTAATGTGTGCAACCTTTTAATCAGATAATTTTGCTCAACTAAATTATGCCATATTTTTCTTGCTTTTAATCCTTTTTTGGCAAATTATTAGTAACTAACATGAAAATTAATGGGACTCCTATGTATAAAATCACAAATGCTTTTGAACCATGATTATTCTTTGAGCAATTTACCTAAATAGGATTAAAACATAATGACTTTCCCAATATAGGACCATTTGTTTTTATTTCCCAATGTAGGACCTTTGGTCATTATCAAGTAGTCATTATTCAACTAAATGTCCATCATTACTAGACATTATTCCTTCCACAAGGTCATTATTAAGTCCTATTTAGGGAATAAAAAAGTTTAAGTCCTACATTAGGAAAGTCATTATGTTTTAGTCCTATTTAGTGCAAATTTCACTTATTCTTTTTGGACAAAGGAAGCAACAAATTTTACATTTTTTTTTGCATTTGGTCTTTGTGTCTTGTGGAAGCTGTCTCTTGAAGTACACTATGTTTTGCACACACATTCACGTATTACAGCCATCATAGTATTTGATGCTATTGGTGGTTTAGAATGGCTTCCGAGAATAAAGTGTTTTGATCTTGCCAGGTTTCTCTGCCCTGGCAGTGGGCAGTGAGAAGTATGATAGATCACACATGTCCTATGGTTGTTAAATTTATAAACTTAAGCATACATAGTACACCATGCAATGCTTTTGCACCCTTTTAACCTTTTGTTGCCAATTTATAGTTCATTTTTTTATATTATGTGCCCTAAGGGTACATGTTAAGAAACAAGAAGTTATTAAAATTCATTGGAAATCATTTGTGAAAATATTTGCAAGTTTAACTATACAATTTCTAATGAAAAGTCATGATTTCTGATTTCTTAACATGTGCCCTTACGGCACGTAATAAAAAACACTTGTTGGTTTTAATTGCTTACACATCCCCTGAGTTTATGCAAATGACACTGGAAGATGAAGTCATATAATGATATTTGTAGGAATAACATATGATGATAGTAGCTGTAATCGAGTTTTTTCAGACTACAGTACTCAATATTTACACGAAATGCTAATTTTGACCAAAATGTGTTTTAATATTTCAGTTTATAAAATGCATTCAACCACAACCAGATTATCATAGTGCTCTATAATTTTTAAATGCTAAAAAGGTTTCATTGCTGAAGTAATAAGTACCATTTATGGATTTTTTAAAATTTTCTTGAATTCCAAGGGTTGTTGAAAACGAATTCCAAGGGTTGTTGAAAACCTTGATGGACTTGATTTGTTGCAATCAACTCTTGTACTCATGACAGTGAGCCCCAAATGGTCTCATTTACTCTTTTGCCCTTTGCACAGGGACCGTGACTACGAAAGAGAACGAGATTATGATAGAGATTATGACAGGGATCGTGACTATGATAGGGACCGGGGTAGAGGACGTGACCGGGACAGGGACAGGGAAAGGGAACGCCATCGGTTGAGAGAAGACAAAGACTATGGCCGTGACCGGGACCGGGACCGGGACCGGGAAAGGGACAGTAGGCGTGATCGTGGCCGTAGAAGAAGCCGTTCTAGAAGCCAAGACCGGAAAGAGCGCGACGATGAACGCCGGAAGAGGCACACCCGCAGCAGTGTGAGCCCCACCGCGGACGAACCCAAGAAAAAGAAAGAGAAGAAGGAGAAGAAAGAGGATGGAACCGACCATCCAGATCCCGAGATTGCCGAAGCCAATCGAATAAGGGCATCTCTTGGGCTCAAACCTTTGAAGTAGCAAATCAATGGCTTAAGTTACAAATAGTATTGTTTTTGTTGCCTTGCAAGCTTTTGTGCATGGACTGATGTTCTCAAAAAAAGACTTTGTAAACTTGGTTCAATTTTCTTGTAAGTATCCTTTAATTGTTCATTTTTTTCTCCCCAAAGGATTAAATTTTACTGTGGTGTATGATATATGAGATATTTTACTTTCAAAACCTTGCTAAAATATTGTCATTTGAGATATTTACTTGCAAAAACTTAATCCACCAAAAAGAAATTACGGATTATATTATGCATACAGGCAAAGTTCGAACACCAAGGAGATGTTTCATTATTCATTCATTTGAACTTTATTATTTTTTGGTAACAATGACATGATTGATATGCAAGAGAATTAAATAAGGGTTAGAGCAACACAATACAACTGACATTAACTAATCAGGGGCAAAGGCTGAGTTATGAGTTGATCATACTAATTATAACATGATCACATTATTTTATCGATAGGAACATAATCCATCTCCTTGAGCACTTGGGCACATTGTGGGGAAGCCTTTTCGGTTGTGAAAAACAACGGGTTTGCATATCTGACGGTGTTGTGCATTCCGGCATTGTTGCTGATGACAATTTGTGACTTGTCCACCCGACCACGTGTGTCCTTGCAGTCCTCGCGAGAGCTCTTCAGCGCCGTCACGTCGCAAATGTCGTCGCCGAATTCTCCCTCTACGTCTATAGTGTAGAACCCGTTCTCGCCCGTGGTTGCCTCCTTTGAGTACGTCACGGCATCCGTTGTCATGTTTCTGCATTCCAGACGCACCACCGCATTTGCGTTCATGTCAAATTGTGTTAGTGATCAAGTCGAGAGCAATGTATGTCCTCAATACCTTTAGAGCAAATGTAGCGCCATCTAGCGAGGATTTGAAGACATCAAATACTCTAAAATACTACCTCCGTCCCAGTGTATTTGTCCAGTTTGACTTTTTCAAGTCAAACTGAACAAACTTTGAACTCCAATTACTCTCAATTTATATTGCATATTAGCATAATGAAATACAATTTTGAAAGTTTTCAATACGATAAATCCAATAAAGTCATTTTTATGTTAAAATACATTACGGTTTTTATTTAATTGAAGCTCAAAGTTTGTCTAGTTTGACTCGACAAAGTCAAACTGGATAAATACACTGGGACGGAGGGAGTATGTCGTATTTATAGTGAAACGTCGATCACTTACTCGGAATGTTTTCGCTTATTCTGGTCTTGAACTTGACGCAGCAAGGGTCACAATACACGTTGCCGCTAACGGTGAAGGATTCGCTGGCGGCGTTGGCCACGGCGGCCAAGAAGCAAAAGGCGGAGATGAGTGCAAAAGCCTTTGCCATTGTTGGTGGTATTGTGTTTGATTGATTTGTTGTCTTTTTCTTTGGTTTCTCTTATTGATTCTTCTCTTGTTGTTAGTGTTACGAGTTGGGAATGTAAGAGATGTCTCCTATTTATATTGGGTGCTTTTGATGATGTTGTGAGACTTAATGATTGACCGCAAGTTTCTCTCATCCTTTTTATTTTGTTTGTGGCTTACATATCTTTGCCAATATTAATTGGGGAACATTGTTTTTGTGCCACAAATATAAGCTGTGAACAATGTAATTTGCAGAAAAAGTGGAATCTCGTAGGCTTGAATCTTTTAAAAATGTAATTGGGACAAATTTGTGACCATAAACAAAACAAATAAGTGGATAGTACTCTATAATTGAAGATTTTGTTTCAAACAATGTTAGAAGAATAGCTCTTTTTAATTAGTTTGTATAATTTAAAGTGTAAGAAAAGTGTTGTAAGATGTACTTTGTTCTTTTTCAAATAAAAATTTAAATGTATTATTTTATGACGACCTTGCATTGAACCACTCCTTTTTTTATATCTTAGGGCCTTGAATTACTGAGTTGCAGAGGACCATCTTAAATGGTTGGGACACTGTTTTTTAGACCTCGTCCAGCCACCGCTAGACTGACAGTCATGTCGCCCTATTTGTGCCCCCACTTGTGTTGGATTATATTTTCCTCCCACTTTCTAAAAAAATAAATTATTTTTATTTTTTAATTATTTCTAATTGTTTAATCGATTTGAATAACAATATTTTGTTTTAACAGCTCATAAACAACAATTGATGTTAGAACAATATATAAATTTTTAAAATAATAATTATGTATTCATAACCCATGAATTATAAACAATCAAACAGAATCCGATAAAATCCTGTTGATAAAATATACTCCTTCCGTCCCGCAAAATGTGGGAGATTTTGATTATTAAGAGATTTTAAAAGTATTTTGGTGTTGAGTTTTTAAAAAGTATATATATATTCGAATATTCGAATATCATCCGAATCAAATATATCCATATTTGTATTTGTATTTGATTAAGATTCGAATCAAAAATAGCATTTGAATTTGAATTTGTATTTGAATAATGCGAATTCGAATCATTATATTCGAATACGAATCGCGAATCGAATTTAAAATATTTGATTTGTTTACATCCCTAGTAGGGGATAAGCAGGCTAAGAGTTAGTAGAGACAAAAGTAACTTTTAATATAAATGAGAGCAGTTTTTTTGAAACGGATGAAAAAAAGAAGAAAAATTTTCAATGACGGATGGAGTATTAAAATCTTTCTAACTATGCATAAATTTAAAACAATCCATGGATTTTACATAATCCACAGATTCTAAACAATCTTTCAAAATTTTTTAAAATCTGAATTGAATACAACTCTTTTACTCCCTCCGTCCCGCAAAAAAGTTCCCCTTTATTTTTTCATCCGTACCAAAATACACTTCCCTTTTTTCCTTTTTAAAAAGTCACGTTTACCCCTACTAATAACTTACCTATCAAATCATATTTTTTCTCTATTAATCTATCCATTCCTTCCTACTTTATCCATCACATCAAAGGGCATTTTTGAAAAGTCAACACCAAAATATACTCCCCTTAAATTCTCAAAAAATCAAAATGGGAACTTTTTTAAGGGACGGAGAGAGTATTATCTATGATAGACTCGGCGTATAAGTGATGTACATGTATTGCTGTGCTCTTAGAAATCCATTTTGATGTCTATTGTAGTTGGAAGTATATACTACCTCTGTCTCTGAGTATTTGTTCAGTTTTGACTTTTTTGGTCAATTATTTTCAACCTTTGACCTATAATTTAATAAAATGTATATTGTATATTAATTAAATAAAATAATAGTTTGAAAATATTTGATATAATAAATCTATTTAAACTATTTTTGTATCAATATCTAAAGCCAGTTTTATTTAATTTAAGGTCAAAGTTTAACAATTTTGACAAAAAAAGTCAAAAGTGGACAAAAATACTCAGGGACGGAGGAAATATATATTTCCAAAATCCAAATGGATCACAAACAATAAATTAAATAAATAAGAATAGCTTTTATTATTAACACATACAACAGCTTATATAATACGAGTATATATACAGCGGAGTTTAATTACGGGGTACAATTACATAAGTAAAGCGTAGTATTATTTACATTAAATGTGACAATAACAACTTATAAAATAAATTAAAGGAAAATTAAAAGAAATGAAACTGGAACAATAATAACAAACAAAGTAAAACACCAATAAGAATTATATTTTCACTAGGAATAAAGCCACCGCTGTGATGATGAACATTACCACCACCACGATATGAAGAAGATTTTCCTCCTTTTCTAGCAACAATGTGTATCTGTCTATCCACGCCTACTATTCCTTCTCTGTCCTCCACTTTGTTATCTATATATATATATATGCATGCATGTAACCAATAACATATGCATGCATTTTAAAATGTAAAATTTGCACGGACTAAAACATAATGAATTTTCTATTGTAGGACTTAAACTTTTTTATTCCCTAAATAGGACTTAATAATGACCTAGTGGGAGGAATAATGTCCAGTAATGATGGACATTTATTTGAATAATGACCAAAAGTCCTACATTGGGAAATAATAACATATGGTCCTATATTGGAAAAGTCATTATGTTTTATTCCTATTTAGGTAAATTTCTCTTTTAAAATGTGTCAATATTATGATACCATCTAATTAAGAAACCAACAACTAACACCAAAATAAAGTACGTTTTCATTCTTTTTAATTAAAGAAAAATCCGTAGTTCGTTCAAAGGGAGTATTATTAACTTCCTCTGATCTTTTTATACGGAGTATATATAAAATTTTACCTTTATCAAAATTTCATGAAAAATTCAAATCAGAACGATGGAAGAAGTTCTTATCATTTTAAGAAAATATATATACGGAGTATAAAAGTATACATATTGGATCAAATGAGAATGGTGCATGGTGAAACCAATGAGAATGCATTTTGTAAAAATCAAATAAATTGAACTTTAAGATATAAGGGATATTAAAAATCAAATACTCTGAAAAAATTGCGATGACAATTTCGTAAGTAAATTAAACTTTACAAAAATGCACTACTACAAGTGTAAAATGCATGGCTACAGTTTGAAAAATTCGTATATACCTGAAATAGGGAGGGGTGGATTAGTATCGGCAGCACCATGAAGAGGGCGAAGATGGAGGTTGAGCAAAATGAGAACCAACAATATTATTACATATTTCTTCATGCTGCCTTTCAACCCCTTAATTGCTCTTATTTAGTAATAAGTACAGAGTTTATCTTTAAAATTTGTGTATTTCAGTAATTACTTGCTTTCTTTTTTTCTTTTTTGGATCATATCGAAGAACGGTCTTTATATATAGTGGTGATCATACATTATAAAAAATTACAATAATAATAATTACAAAAAATAATAACAACTACAAATAATAATAATAATAATAATAATAATAATAATAATAATAATAATAATAATTATAATTATAAACTTCAAGTACACGTTAAATAGAGTAACTAAAAAAAGTTAGGGAAGAAACCACAAAAGAACTTGTTATATTAAAATATCTATTACCGTTTATATTAAAAATAATCTAAATTATAAACCATTAAAGTAAACCCATTATTCTTGTACCTTGTATTTAATAATCTCTCTGTTTCAAAAAATCTTTCTACTTTCAATCTTTATCCATCCCAAAAAAACATTTATACTTTCAATCAAAATATTTCTTTATTTTATCATTATTGCGTATTTAGTAATTATTAACCTACATATCACATCATTTATATTTATTATTAATCATATATATGCATCACTCATATTTTATACTACTCCATCTGTCTTAAAACTTTTTTCCCAGATATTATTCACACAGTTAGACTTCACTTTCTGTACATACCTATTTTTGTTAGTTATTTGATAAAATAATATAGTCATGTTACCTCTTATTTTGTACTCCCTCCGTCTCATAAAGATAGGGACGATTTGACTAAAGTGGTAAAATAAGGAAGGATAATTTTGTGCTGACTTTCCAAAAATACCCTTGATGTGATGGGTAAAAATAGGATGTGATGTGTAAATTATTAGAAAAAAGGTATGATGTGATATGCAGGATATGAAAAAGTAATGGGTAAAAGTGGTTTTTTAATAGAAATGAGACGGAGGGAGTAGAACTTTTGATATAATTTTAAATAGTCCGTATATAATTTATACTACCTCCGTCCCAAAAAGATTTACACGTTTTGACTAAAGTTGAAATTAAGGGAGAGATAATTTTGTGTTGACTTTCCATAAATACCCTTGATGTGATGACTTTCCCAATATAGGACTATATGTTTTTATTTCCCAATGTAGGACCTTTGGTCATTATGAGTTAGTCATTATTCAACTAAATGTCCAGCATCACTTGGACATTATTCTTCTCACTAGTCATTATTTAGTCCTATTTAGGGAATAAAAAAGTTTAAGTCCTACATTAGAAAATGACTTATGTTTTAGTCGTATTTAGTGCAAATTTCACATACTCCGTATAATATTCTTGTAACATCTTGTTCTTTAAAACTTTTGATGTAATTTTTTAAACATGTGAGTTTTATTTTTTTATTTATGTCTCAATCTTTAAATAAAATAAATTGTAAATATTTGGAATTGTTCTTCATTTTCCGCAATTTGTAAGACATAAAAAGTAATAAAATATTGTAAAAGTTTTTGTGTCTATTTTAAAACAAAGTATCCTCCGGATATTGTGTAACCTAAAAAGAAAGAAAAGCATTATATACTAACGTAACACCCACTTGTTTAAATTACGTAATCGCTTAGCTATGAATACCATTTTACGTTTATAACTCTTTATGAAAAATTACGAAATTTTTCATAGCGTTTTGAAAAAGCTATCTATGGGCAGCGTTTAGCCTTAGCGTTTTCAAAGTAATCTGCACCGTTAAAATTTTATCCAAAACGCTAACGCTAATCTCTAACGCTATTCCCAAACAGGTACTGGATCTGAAATTAGAGGTTTGCTACGTTCTTTAAATTCACTACTAGAAAAAGAGCAAATGGACTACTTATTTGAATACAAAAAACTAAAGTATGTGTGACTTTTTTTGGATAAAAAAATGTACTCAGTAAATTTTAAAAGGGGAGTTTACGTAAATAGCACTTTTAGTGCAAATATTTCATTTTTAAAAGTATCCTCCAGATATTTTTAAAAGTATCCTCCGGATATTGTGCAAATATTTCATTTTTAAAAGTATCCTCCGTCCAAGGAGGCCAACTGGACCGGGCCCAACATTTTAAGGGGCCCAAAGTTTCATATATATATATATATATATATATATATATATATATATATATATTCGTAATATACTTCAATAAGTAAAAGATCAATTGGCTAGAGTGAGAGTCGAACACGAGCCATCGTATTGATTTTAATAAAACTTCTAATTATTTAGAAAAAGAAATACATGCAATTTCTAATATGCTTGATTAATAAACAAATAAAAATAGTTCAAAAAATAAATAAACAAAACTATTTATGTTTTATTTAAGAAAATACCTATACCTAAAAAATATTTTTTCTCAAAACAAAAAATAACTAAAAAAATTCTGTCATCAATAAAAATTAAGAAATATTTAGTAAATATACCTTAATATATAAAATTAAATTTTTTCTTCTTCTTTTTCTCGTTCCAATTAACAAAATATAAATGTAAAGTGTTACATACGAATTGCGGAGTATAATGTAAAACATATTACCTAGCCTTTACTTTTTAAAAATATGAGAATTGACTATTTTAGTTTTATTAGATACTCATCATTTATATTTAATAGTAATAAAAAATAATACGAATATCAAAATAAAATTGTGACGGCATATGAAAAATAATGTTGAAAATTAAATGGAAGAGTGAAAAAACACAAATATAATATCTAATTACTCCTCCGTTCGAAAATGTTCTTCCCTCTTTTTTTTGGTCCGTCCGAAAATTTTCTTCCCATTTTCTTTTTTAGTATACATTATTTTACTACTCCTTAATAAGCGTGTCAAGTCAACGCGAGAAAAACATTCCCGGACGGAGGGAGTATCTGATATAAAATACTATTCTTTTAATTATAGTTAACCGAGTCGTTGACCTCAGATTGACTGGTTAACCCTTGACCTACTAGTTCCTTCGAGTCGACGTCTGGTTTAATTTTCAAGACATTGGTTTGGAAAGGTAAGTAATATAATTTTGCATGTCATTTGTTTATTTTGTTACATAGTATATGATACTATTATATTAATTGTCATTTAAATATAATTAGCTTATACAATTTAATTTGTTAAGTCATTGGGAATAAGACCTTTAGGGCCTCTTTTTCTGTCTCGGTCCAGGCCATCAAGTTCTCATGATCGGCTCTGGCATATACTCTCATAAAGTTGACATTGATACTTCTTGTTGCAAGAACAAGTGTTTAATGGACTTTTTCGGAATGAAGTTTGTGAAGAATGAGTTACAGAATAAAATTTGTGATCAATGATTGAATGATTGTTTAGTAACTTATGTTGAGAGAGATGTCTTTTCCACCATTAATGATGATGTAATTATAGATCATTTTCAAAGTATGAAAACTAGGCGAGTACATTTGTATACGACATTATTTTTATATGACACTATTTCTATGTATTAATTATGGTACTATTCGAATATTAGAGCTACTTGAGAAGGTTTTCCTTTGTTTAATTTTGTTTTTGAATTGTGATCTTTTGCAAGGTTCCGTCGTCACTATGGTATTCTGTTTTTTTTTTAAATTGATGATTCACACCCGGTTTTAATATAAAATGGAGTATTTGTTTGATGAGATATGAGTTTCAATTTGTAACAAGTAAATATAGACCGACTTAGAGTAACAAACAAATATTGACCTATCCTTGTTTAAAAATGTTCTAAACTAATACTCTCTCTGTTTCTTAAAACAGTTCATTTTTCATTTTTTCATTTTCCCTAAAAGATCACTTCCATTTTTGGAAAAATAACTCATATATCTAAATTAAGTTCTGCAATATACTCTATTAAATTTGCATTGATATAATAAGTCATTTAAATGATTTGTCTCTTTTTTTCTTCGATGATATATAATTAGAAGGTCAAACTACGAAAATAAATCTCTCCCAAATTAAAGCAGGAACGGTACGGTTTTAGGAAACGGAGGGAGTATATCATCTGTCTTTGTTGTAGAATAATATGAAAGATTTTTTTCGTTTTAGTCTAAACTTTCATTTGATTCATACATCGATCAATAATGTTTGCATATATCATAAGCCTAGTCAAAGGCTTTTTCCAAGTAACAAAAATTCAATGGAAAAATAAATCTTGGCAGAAAATAGTTATAATATGAGTGATCGACTACCCCTCGAGTCTACACCTTCCCCTGATGTTTACATCATTCAACAGGGATAAACATAGGGGAATTTACTTAAATAGTACTTAAACATTATGACTATATCTAAATAACATCATATGTGTTTTTTCTAAATGTAGAACTTTTAGTCATTATCCATTAGTCATTATTCAAGTAAATGTTCGCCATCACTGGACATTATGAACATTAATAAGTACTATTTAGAGAATAAAACAATTTAAGTGCTATTTAGGGAAATGACTTAAGTTTTAGTGATATTTAGTGCAAATATTTCATAAACACACTTTAATTTTATATTTCTTTTAAATTCAAGCATCCATTATTTTTCACAGTATAGTGCATTCAATGTTATCTCATTAAAAACCTTACCAATTAACAAAATCTAATGCGAAAAATAAAACTTTGTTAAAGGGAAAAAGAGTAGATCAGAACATAATATACGAGTAGAGTTTATGCTTGTATATATGTAGCTTTATTTGAGTACAATATTTATAAGAAATACATTACAACAACAACCTTATTTAACAGGACAAGATATCTGGTGATGAGGGGAAGTAATTACAAGAAAATTAATTAAAGGAAAAGAAACTGGAAGAACAATGGGAAACAAAGTAAAACCCCAAGAATTAAATTATTATTTTTTATCATAAAACCACCGCCGCTGCTACCATGTTGCCGAGCAGTTTTGCCGACTCGGTGGCTAACCACCGCTACCGATTCTTCTTCATTCTCCGCTTTATTACCTATGTATTATTTGGATTCAAGGTAACAACGTTTGCGATTAACACAAGTCTTATTCATTCTTTTGTTCAAAACAATTACTCTCTCCATCCCATAAAGTATTACCCATTTTGACTAAAGTTGAAATTAAGAGAGGGATAATTTTGTATTGACTTTCCAAAAATACCCTTGATGGGATGAGTAAAAGTAAGATGTGATATGTAGATTATTAGAAAAAAGGTATGATTTGATAGGTAGGGTTTGAAAAAGTAAGGGATAAAAGTGGTTTTTTAATAGAAATGGGTAAGGAATTGTGGGACACAGTTTTTTTGAAACGTGTAAATCTTTTTGTGACGGAGGGAGTATATTTTTTGACATTAATGACTTTATTATAATGTACGGAGTATCTGTTTATTATACATATTCAATCCATCAATCAAACATGTAGAGTTATTACCTGAAATAGGGAGGGGTGCATTGGTATTTGCAGCACTGGCATGAGGAGGGCAATGGTGGAGATTTAGCAAAATGAGAACCAACAATAATACTACTCTTACATATTTCTTCATTTTTGGCTGCCTTCCTATCCCTTGCTCTTATGTATATATATCTATATATAGTTTCTTTTATTTTTTTTCCCTTCTTTTTTGCATTATATCGGAGAAGAATGGTGTATATATATAGTTTTGATCATACATTATAATAATAACAATAATAACAACTACTACTACTACAACAAATAATAATAATAATACGGAGTAATAAACTTCGAGTATACGTTAATATATAGTAAAGGTAGAGAAGAAAACCTAAAAGAATTTATTCAATATGTATTACCGTTTATATTAAAAATAGAGAAATTTACTTAAATAGGACTAAAACATAATGACTTTCCCAATATAGGACCATATGTTTTTATTTCCCAATGTAGGACCTGTGATCATTATTAAGTAGTCATTATTCAACTAAATGTCCATCATTACTGGACATTATTCCTTCCACTAGGTCATTATTAAGTCCTATTTAGGTAATAAAAAAGTTTAAGTCCTACATTAGGAAAGTCATTATGTTTTAGTCCTATTTAGTGCAAATTTCACTTAAAAATAACCTAAGTTCTAAAACAATAAAACAAACCCAAAATTTGTAAATTTTAACGTCAAATTAATAAAAGTTATATTATATATTGATTCAAAAATAGTTTTTTAGATTCATTTCATAAAATATTTGCAAAACATCTTTTATTTAATTTACTTAATACGAACATTAAAAATGGTTAACTGGAAAAAGTAAAAAAAAAGAAGAATACTAAGAGACAGGGGTGGTATATATTAAGTATTATTACTCTGAAATGTTGATATTGCAAAGATTATATCGAGACAAAATTCTACAAGATTATAATTATATGAATATTTTTTATTGTATACTCTCTATGTCCTGGAGTATTTGTTCATTTTTACTTTTTTGGTCACAATTGGTAAACTTTGACGCCAACTTAGATAAAAATGTCTTTTTTAGAAAAATGTGTAGTTCTTTATGGGACAAAAAATTTATGAAACGTGTAAATGTTTTTGGGACGGAAGGAGTATTAAATATTGATATAAAATTGTTTTATTAGATTTATTGTATAAAATATTTTCAAAATATTAATGTATCTAATTATTGTACAATACATATTTTATCTAATTATAGGTCAAAGGTTGAAAGTGATTGACTGAAAAAAGTCAAAACTGGATAAATACTCTGCGATGGAGGTAGTAGGTAACAAAAGATGACCAAATAAAAATTGTAAATTAGTGTAAAAGTTTTTGAGTCTATTTTACAACAAAATAGTCGCATATATTGTGTAACCTAAAAAGAAAGAAAAGCATTGTATACTAACGTGACACCCACTTCTTTATTTTGTTCTCTTTTACCGTTTTACACTTTTACACCGTTTACTATAGATTGCGTCACACCCACTTCTTTATTTTGCTGAAATTTACCGAAGGTTCTGCTACTACTCCCTAATATTTTATTGACACATATTACCTTCCTATTCGAGTTTGAAGAAATAGTAAAAAAGAAGTACTAAAATAGAGTAATGCTAGAATCACAAACAAACAGTTAACAAAATTCACAAACTTGCTTTTTTAATACATTCCTAGAAATAAGATGCCTTTAAATAATAAAATATATTTTAATTTAAAATCCCCAAAAAGCAAGTTTGTGAAGTTTGTGAACTATATGTTTGTGACTCTAGCATTTTTCACTAAGATATAAGAAAAGAATCAAAACAAGATTTTATGTGTTTTCCTGTAAATAATGCTAACATATAATATTAAAAATAATTGTGAATTATCTATATACAGTGTCACATTATTATCATAATCCAATAATCATATTTTAACTGGAATAAATACATCTCGTAAAATAGCATTGGACATCATGAAAAAGCAAATAGGAAAGAAATTTATAGAGGAAGGAGTAGTTATGAATATATGATTTTTTTAATGTGAGTAGTTATGGTTATCAATAAAGAAAAAAGCGTGTAGTTAAATTTTATGGGGGAGGAGAAGGAATTTGTGTGGAATACATAATCTGATACGGAGCCGCCAACGAACTCATTGGGGAATGACGTGGAGTCCTCGACTACGACGGTGGTGCATTCTCGTCCACGTAGGAACGTGGGCCGCTCAAGGAAATATGTCGATTATGTTTGAACGTCTCTCTTATAATTATTTGTTCTATTTTTATTGTATCGTAGATTTTTATTAGGTGAGCAAATTATAAGCTCCTTCGAGGGTTTTTTTACGGTTCTTTACCTCGTCGCTTTTCTTTAACCGTCAGGATAGATAACCTAGATTAATTAGGAATATGGGTTTATTTGTTATAAATAGGGAGTCTCATGTTCTGATCTAAATCAATAAAGAATCCCCTTAAACCCTAAACTCTCTTTCTCTCTGATCTCTCTCTCCTTAGCCCTAGCCGCACGCCCCTCTCTTCCCCGTCAACTTTCGGTTGGCTCTTCTGGGAAGTTAGGGAAATGCTTAGTTCACAAACCCAAACTTCACAAACTTCACAAACTTACTATTTGTGAACTTCAATAAAAAAAATTAAATAGTCTAAAATAATTTTAAAATGAGAATTTAAACCATAAATAGCAAGTTTGTGGAGTTTGTGATAATTCTGTTTGTGAACGTAGCATTGCTCGGGAAGTTATCATTTTCTCTTCTTCAAAAGGAAAAAGTAATGTCACTTTTTTGGTAGGAGTAAAAAAATAATGGTTAAGGTGTATTCAAGACTAAAAAAAACTGTCTGATTTCCATTAAAAAAAGTCGTGTTTACTCAGTTATCCTACTAATTCTTAACCTACCTATCGCATCACATCTCTTCACTATTAATTAACTCATCAAATTCTATTTTTACTCATTACATTCAATGACATTTTTGGGAACTAAACACCAAAATACACTCTCTTTGGAGAAAGACTTTTAGAGATAGTATAACCTTTTTTTGAGAGACGGGCAATGACTTCAAGAAGAGTATGAGACTACGAAAGATGGATGAAGCTTAATTGAGAGAGAAGAGTGTGAATTTATAAATTTATCAATACTCTTAGCGGGAACATATTAGCTGGGTTAGCAGAGGACCATTCGCGCGTGGAAAGCAACCGAATAATTGGGGACTAATTTTTTTAATTTATCCATCAAATCATACTTTTATCCATCACATCCGAGGACATTTTGAAAATTCAACACTAAAATATACTCTTCTTAAACTCTTAAAAATCAAAATCTCCCATGTTTGTAGAGACGGAGGGAGTATGTAATACTCCCTCCGTCCCCCATAGATCTTTCCAATAGCCCTTTTTCTTTGGGAAGAAAGACCAAAGTAGGACTAAAACATTGAAAATATACCAAAATAGGACTTCCATGTTTTTATTTCCGAAATAGGACTTACATTACCAAACATGGTCATATACATTACCAAAAAAGTATAGTAATTTGCACATGTACACTGCCACATTACCACAATGCAAAGTCACATTACCACAATGTAAGTCCTATTCCGAGAAAAAAAACATGAAAGTCCTATTTTGGTACTTTTCTCTATGTTTTAGTCCTATTTAGGATGATTTCTATTTTCTTTGTCCACAATAGATCTTCTCATTTCATATTTTAACAATTAAAATACCACAACTACCCCCATTTACTTTATTTATTACACATCACCCACCTCATTTAATACACTCCATCCATTTTCATTAAGGGTATTATGATAAACTTTCACCTTTTTCAACTCTCCTTAAAAACCACCAAAAGTCAAAATGAGAACATCTTAGGAAGGCGGAGGGAGTATGAAACATCGTCCTTGCTAAGTTGTTTTATATCATGACATGATATGTAAGAGTTTTAAAATTCGAATCCCAACGGTGGTATAAAATGTTTGGTCAATTTTCAAAGAGAGAAAAACCAAAGTAGGACTAAAACATTGAAAATATACTAAAATAGGACTTTCATGTTTTTATTTCCGAAATAGGACTTACATTACCAAACATGGTCATATACATTACCAAGAAAGTATAGTAATTTGCACATGTACACTGCCACATTACCACAATGCAAAGTCACATTACCACAATGCAAAGTGCTATTCCGGGAAAAAAAACATGAAAGTCTTATTTTGGTACTTTTCTCTATGTTTTAGTCCTATTTAGAATGATTTCTAATTTTCAAAATCGTGCGGTCCGTTTTTCAAAACTATAACGAGTATGGGTAGTATCGAGAAATGCTAGAGTCACTAATATTTCGGTCACAAAATACACAAACTTACTATTTGTGTATTTAAATACTCCGTATTAATGTTTGCTTTTTAATTATTTAACATCATTTTATTTATTTAGTGAGGTGCACAAATGGCAAGATTGTGTATGACTCTAGCATTTCTCAGTATTATCATACTCCCTAACTATTAAACACGTGCATGCAATAAGTATATTTTGACGATGCATACATTTAAAAAAACCAGCAAGTGAGAAAATTCATGTCGCTCATGCAAAAGACCTAAGTCGTAAATACATTAGATTATCAATTTAACACTATTCCATAATAACTATAACTGAATTAAAACCACTTTCAAAATGGCTAAATCTAAGTGTAATTTATTTAAATAGGACTAAAACATAATGATTTTCCGGACCATATGTTTTTATTTCCCAATGTAAGACTTTTGGTCATTATGAATTAGTCATTATTTAAATAAATGTCCATCATTACTAGACATTATTCCACCCAGTAAGACATTAATAAGTCCTATTTAGATAATAAAAAAGTTTAAGTCTTAGATTTGGAAAGTCATTATGTTTTAGTCTTATTTAGTGCAAATTTCAATAAATCTATTTTCACCTTTTTACATGCATTTAGCATTTCTCAACTAAAAGATGAAATTAGCAATTTGAAAATTGAATTCAGCCATTTAGAACTTAATTGGATTTAGTCATCGCCTATATATAATTAAAAGAAACGAAAGAGCAAGAGAATTTGTGATTACAAAAGCACAGTTATTATTATTATATTGTCCGCTGCTTGAGTTTCCAGGGTGACGATG